TTTTTTATAATTCGGCTGTCCTGCCACTTTTTATTGAGATTAAACTATACTAAGAAATTTACATTCCCTAATAATAGTTATATTTAATCCACCTGTAAAATGATGTACCTATGCTTTCGCCAGATATGACTTGCCTCAGTGGACTTCAAGCCTCTCTTCGGGCCTTTAACTCACTAGAGGTTATCCTTTGGTCATGGGCTGGTGCCACACATCATATTCAAATTATTTTCTTTTTACAAAATGAAATACAAATACAAATACAAAGAGTATAACAAAAATAGGAAAAAGTTGCTGGTGATTCATAGATATAATTATATCTAAGAATCACTAGTGACTTAGGTTAGGTTATGTCGGGATGATATAGTCTAGTAGAGACATTATAGTCTAGTAAAGACATTATAGTCTAGTAGAGACATTATAGTCTAGTAGAGATATTATAGTCTAGTAGAGACATTATAGTCTAATGACATAATCAGATGGTGACCTTATAATCTAATATCGTGATCTAATGCTGACCTTATGGCCTGCCCAATTTATTCTTTAGAATATTCTTTGAGATTATAGCTATTGTTTTGTTTGTTTCCTGCATATTAAGTTTTATGTAGTAGCTTTTTCATAATCTAATGGTAATTGGTAGTTCTTTATTCTAATAAACTCTCTATGATCTAGTAGTAATTATTTTCCTCCCATTTTTAGTCTGTTTACTTGTTGAGATCTATGTTGAGGACATTGGCTCTCTACATCCGTTTAGAAGCTAGATTTTATATTGTGGGTGTGGGTGTCTGTATTTGTTTAGAACTCAAATTTTATACTAAGGATATTGCTCCTCTGTACCTGTTTGGGTGCCAGATTCTATATCAAGGTGCTTACCTTTTTACACCTCTTTGGTTGCCTTTCTAGATGCCAAAGTAGTGTAAAAAAAAAAGGTGTCAGGTGGCACAGTAAATTTGCGTTAATTTCAGCTGACACTATGCTATAATTCCGGCTGATCTTTTGAAAACACAATTTGAGAATCCAGCTTGGCATCACGATGGTGTCATGATAGTGTCACAGAACTATCATAGAACTGTTGAGGGACTGGCATGGAACTAGAGTAGTTCTATTAGTTACTAGTTTTCAGACTATTTGTATGCTAGCTTGGATACCGAATTATTATGTCTAAATATCTGGCCAAAATTATGGAGCGAATTTTGACTGCGCTAGTTATGTGATCCTGTTACGGTACACAAACACTCTCTGCTATATAATATAGCAAATTCAGTTAATTCTATTAGTTCACCAGTTCGGAGATATGATATGCATTATTATGGCCGGCCCATTTGATTACCAAAAAGTGTGCCATCCTACAACCTAACTATTGCCTATTTGTTGCCAGTATGTATATGCCAATTTCACATCCCAAAATTGGAGGTGCGTTATATATTATCATGGCCCCATATGATTGCCAAAAAGTGCACATATTGTGATCCAACTATTGCCTATTTGTTGCCGGTTTATGTATGCCGATTTCGTGTTCCTAATAAAAGTAAAGTTGTGGCCGAATTTATGGAATATTACGTTATCGAAATTGAACAAAAATCTATTGCACCAAAAATTTGGGTATCAGGTTAGTTGCGGACTTATTATGAGCTAGTTGCGAGCTGGTTTTGGGAATTATAAATTTGTATTATCATGGCTGGCCCATTTGGTTGCTAGAAAATTCTGTCTAAGTAACTTGGACAACTAGGACAGAAACTAGGACGGATTTTGTTATGGGAGAAGAGCTTCTTTCTTTGATTTAACTTGTTCTTTTATATTATGTCCTAGTTGTCCTAGTTGTTCTAGTAAAAATAAGAATTCTAGAAAAAAAAACGTAACTCTTCCTATGCTATATGTTTATAGTATATACCATTATGTGTATTATATATGGTAGTATCCCTATAGGAAAAAAAAATAAAAAGTATAGAAGTTCGAATTTTTTCTAGGACAATTAGAACAACTAGGACGGGTATTTAAATTCCCTTTAATTCGGCTTTAAATTGCCGTTTAGCTATTTTTTTCCGTCCTAGTTCTCGTCCTAGTTCGTCTCAGAAAACTAGGATGAATTTTTTAGTGATACCCATCAAGTTGTATTATTTTTGTTTACCTCTAAATTACTTACCAGTACCCATGTCCAAGCTCGTCCTAGTTTCTAAAACGGATTGCTGGAAGGTATCCTGAATTTTTGCAAGCTTTTGCCGATAGTAGTATTCCATATTTCGGTACCTTCCCGCATGCTTTTTGCACATACCATAGGTTGAAGATGTAATCTTGCCATACTCCTTACATGGAATACGTTGGGGGATTTTCAGTGATAGTCACACCCCTCAGGTCTATAACTACCTCGTTCGCAGACTTCTCCGCTCCTTAGAATGTATTCACAGTAGTAGAATGCCATCTTTTATAATAACTTCTTTTTTGCTACGCCTCTATAAATTGATATCAGATACTTTTTAGTTGGGAATTAATTTTTATTTTAAACTTTTTTCAGACATATTTAGTATTTTCTACAAAAAGTTGTCTGATATTACTATGACACAATCAGACCTTTCAGAGTTCTCTGATGCGCTCTCCGCCTTTTTTCAGCCAAAGGCTGAAAAAGATAAAATAGAAGCCCAACTGATTTACTATTCTGGTGAAAAGTACTTGACGAATTTTTCAACTCTAGATGAAATAGTTAGAAAAAATGATGATGAGGAATTGTCCGCAATTCTTAAAAATGAAATAGCAAATAATCGTGATATTCCATTTATGGCCATTGAGAATGAAAGGTCAACAGAAAAGATAAATGGAACTTATCGCTATATATTGCGTCTTTATGGTCGTCTTATTAATGGTCAAAAAGCGCTAGTAACTCTTATAGGCATTCGAGTATTCTTTGATATTCTTGTGCCAAATGGCGAATCTCCCAATGAATGTAAGACAAAAATAAGAGATATTTTATCCGCTAGTGTGAAAACCTTTTCAGTAGAGCATATTAAGGCCTTTCCTTTTCGTGGATACTATAGGGAAAAAAAAAATTATTTACGAATTTATACAAATGGTACTGGAGAGAGAAAGAGAGCCATCAAAGCTGTTCAAGATAATAATTTCGAAACTGCTTCAGATGATTTATACTCATTCCACCAAAAGGTGGCTCGAGAAAACGGAATCCAACTCTCTGGGTGGTCTACAATAAATAAATATATATGCAAAAAAGGCAAACGGACCAGCCCGCTCTGTCTGCATGAATTCTATGTGTCTATAAAAGATTTCTGTCCGCTAGAGGATTTTACAACAATAAGTGATCGATTTCCTATTACAGCTCTCTTACGGGATCGTATTCTTGTCCTCACGTGGGATATAGAGACGCAATCACAAGAGTTGGGTGAATTTTCCGAAGTCCTTGATCTGAATCATAATGTTTTTATGATTTGCATGACATTGTATTGGAAAGATGATCCAAAACCACTAAAGCAAATATGTCTTGTCGATGTTGAGACAGAACCAGATCCATGCTGGACTACAATCATTTGTGAAAACCAAGAAAATTTGCTGAAAGCGTTTGCCCTCTGCTGGCGAGCATTTGCACCTGATATCCAAGCTGTGTTTAATGATTCTAACTATGATTGGTGTTTTATTATGGAGAGAGCATATCAACTCGACATACTCGAATGGATGTGGGAGCGAATGACAGAAAAGTTTGAAACAAAGGAAGAAATCCTAAAGTGGAAATATCGCGGAAAGATAGGAGCGAAATCTGAAAATGTTTTTAAGGCAAAGAATGCTGTTAAGCCTCCTGAAGAAGGCGAGGAAGATCCGGAGGAGAAAGAATATATGGGCGGTCCAATTAAGATCAAAATTAGTGCAGAAGAGAATTTTACTTCTAGCTTCCTTAAACTGCCAGGTTGTATACCAATCGATATCCGCGTGTGCCTCAAAAAACGTTTCCCCTGTTCTGAAGTCGAAAAGGAAGGCTCACTTAAATTCTTCTTACAAAAGTGCGGTCTTGACACTAAGGCCGACATGCCATATGATAAAATGTGGAAAATTTATTCAGAGGCAAAAAAAAGCTCCTTCTCATCAATCGCAAGAAATATGCGTGAAGTGGCACATTACTGTATTATAGACGCACTGCGCTGTCAGGAGCTTTTGGTAAACCAAAGTATAATAAATGATTATAGAGAAGTTGCCTCTATAGCTTACGTTTCTCTTTTTGACACACACTATCGCGCAAACGGAATGAAGGTACGGAACCTTCTTGGTGCATATGCTATCAAACAAGATATGATAATTAGTACAAGGGTTTGTGAAAACATAGAAAAAGAGAAATATCCTGACGCGTACGTATTTCTGCCTAAAAAAGGGATTGAAACAAGAAGACCTGTAACGGGATTGGATTTTGCTTCATTATATCCCAGCATTATTATGGCATATAACCTCTCCCCAGAAAAATTTATATTTAATCCAAAGAATGCTGATATTGCGCAAAATAATGGAAATAACTTGCATAAGATTGAGTTTTCGTTTAATAATCACATCATCCAAGCTTGGTGCATACGTCATGATAACCAAACGGAAAAGAAAGGCCTATATCCGACTATATTAGAGGATTTATCCAACAAAAGGGTGGAGCTTAAAGCGCGTCTAGCTATACTAGGAAAGAAAAAGCAACATCTTGGGAAGATGATAAGTTTAGCTAAAGAAAGAGGCAAAAGGATTCCGGAAAGCTTAAATTTAGAATACTCATCTGTATGCTTCGATTACGATTATTGGGATTCGAAGCAAAAAGCTTTGAAGGTATACATGAACACTTTTTATGGGGAAGCTGGAAACTTACTATCTCCAATCTTTCTTCACGAATTAGCCTGTGGAACTACTATAGCGGGAAAATACAACCTTAATCTTGTTGCTGAATTTGTATCAAAGAAAGGGTTTGTGATAAAATACGGGGATACCGATTCTTTGTATCTTACCTGCCCTGATAGGTATTACGAGAAATGCGATGAAGCCTTCTCCAGAAAAGAACTTTCCAAAGAAGCGTACTGGACTGAAATGGTCAAAATTACTATGAATGTGATGAAAAAGTTGCGTGATCAAGTAAATGCTTATCTTAGGATAAAAAGTGGGACGTTTTATCTAAAGATGGCATATGAAGAGGTATTATTTCCTGTCTGCTTTACCAGTAAAAAGAAGTACTTTGGGGTTGGGCATGAAGATGTAGTAAACTTTAAGCCGAAAAAACTTTTTATGAAAGAGATAGAAACTGTAAAACAAGGTAAATCCCAGCTTCTTAAATTTATTGGAGAGAGGATTATGAGGGAGGCTTTGGATATAAATAATACGTGCTCAATTCACAAAATTGTTGAAGATACCCTTAGAGAAGCACAGAACAAGGAATGAGATTTCAATGAATTTATTGTAATAGGAACATGGAAGCCTAAGAAACAAAATCTTTGTAACAATCGCTTTATAGAGCATATGGGGGGAAAAAATGAGAAGATTCCTGATCCTGGTGAACGGTTTAGCTACGTTGTTGTAAAAGGCCCACCTCTCTACAATAAAGAAGGTAGAAAGGAACTACATAGAGTTGGCGATTTTATGAAATATGCAGACATCGCAAAAGAGCAAAACATGAAAATAGATATCAATTATTATTTAGGCACTATAGTTGAAATATGTGCACGCTTTATCAATGAGGACGATAGGTACTTACCACCTTCTTCACATAAAATTATGCAACTCAAAGATTCAGACGAGAAAGAAAAGCAGATCGACAAATACTCCCAGAACGAGGCTATAAAATGGCTTAAAAAATATATAAAAGGCTTACAATAAACTTTCTAACCACTCTTAGCAGGATGTAGCAATTTCAGCTAAGAATACTCACAATATTATTTATATTTTTTTCATGCAATAATACTGGCTAACTCCAATTTCTATATTAGATCTGGTCACAAGATGACCTCTTCCGGACACCGATCATACAGCCTGGCCTCGGATATGCTCGGAGATGTAAATCGTTAGTCTGAATGTATCGGTCACTTTTTTTCCATGAATCCCATATTTTTTTTCTAAATACAAACCATATAACTGCAATAAGAAATAAGATAAGTATGGAATATGCTATTATTGGTGACATTAAGAAACTTGCAACGACAGAGATAGCTGATATTAAGGTCATTACTTGGGGTGATGGCACCACTTCTGCACCATCTACAGGAATTATTTGGGACGAAGGATTAAGAGTAGAAAGGGTCCCTTCAGGATCAAGTTGCGATGAATCGTTCATAAACAGGGGTGGGGGATTAGAGAAATCTGTTATTTCATTATCTTTCTTTGAGATTATCTCTCGGAGATGAGAATTTTCCTTTATTAAATTTAATCGTGCCGAAGACAAAGTATCTATTTCCTGACTGGTTATCCTATGTGTTGCTTCTATCCCTTTTTCCATACATTCCATTGTATATTTTTTTGAATTAAAGTTCTCTTTCACTCGTTCCAATTCAAGCCTGAGAGAATTATAGGACACCCGATCTAGCTCCTTGTTCTCCAATTTAGCTTCCAATTCACCTACCTTAGTTTCAAGAGAAAGAATCGTGGCCTTGTCAAGA